TTCAGCAGCAGCCAAGGTAATGGAATTTGATGTCTGGGGTTCTTTTTTTGGTTACTTCAGATTAGAAGGAGTAGAAGCCTTTTGCTTATTCCTTGCCTAGCGTGTGCAGGATTGTAGTAGCCTGACTCTCTAGCAGTTCCTCTAGAAGAACAATAGAACTGGGTGTGCTGAACACTAGCTTTTCAACTTGCATGCTAGCTAACTGGAACTTTTTAGCTGGCTGTTGTGAACACAACCTCTTAGAAGTAGGAAAATGAGGAAGCTGCCAATAGAGAGCAGATAAATGGATTTTTTTTTTTTGTCTTTCCCCCTCTTCTATTGTTTTTAGCACTGTAATTCCAGTCCCACAGCCTTTTATTCAATGAGAAGAACAAATCTTCCTTTGACTACATAGCACATGAGGCTAAGCAATTATGCCCTTGAAGGGAACCCAAATAGAGATGGCAAAGACACAGGGATCACTAGAGTGTCAGTAGGGTTTCTGATGCCTTTGGTGTTGTATTCTGTTCCTGTGAAGGTCAGACAGTAGGAGAGACTTGCCATATTCTTGCCAACATGTGAAACATACTCAGGGTTTGTTGCTTCATCTACAAGCAGTTTTAACTTAAAATCACTCTATCAGAACAAAATTGTTTAGATTCCTTCTCACTTACAAGTAGTTGTTTTCAGGCTCTTGCCAAGCCTAACAGCAAAAGAATTTTCCACTTTATTAAAGTACTTTATTTTTTAGGATTTTTACATAACAAGGGAGTGACTAAAACTAGTATATGAATGTTCCCTCTTGGCCAGTTTTCAATCTGAATTGGATTGTATCATTATCCCATTTTTTTTGGTCATTAAAACTACTTTGTGTTAAGTTTTGATACCGCCAGCTTTGGTTATCCACTTGGCAGGAAGCATGGTGAGCATTTCTGAAGCTTTCTGTCTTAATGTCCTTCAAGGCAGGAGTGTTTGTTGTGTGTCCTCTACTGCAAATAGAGACGTTTGGCTTAAATCACAAAGCTCCTTCCTTCCCAAACTCCTTGCTCAGTTGCCTACAGCACTTAACTCAAGGCTGACTTTCCTAAAGAAACTTGTATAATGTTGGGTGCTTATCTCAGTAGGATTTGGTGTTTTACCAGAAAGTGCTTTTAGTCCAGACTCACTGCTGGTCAACTTGTCCACTTTTCTTACTTTTTGCAGTACCAATAACCTCAACCAAGCAGCCTTAGCGTATAGTTGTAGCAGGAAATGTGCATATCTGGGATAAGCTGACTTCTCAGCTGTAGTAGAAATGGAAATGCAGAGTGGTAGCCATCTGTTCCCAAAGTAGTGAGACGCTATTTATTGAAATGTGGGAATTTTTTTCACTACTACAAAGTTTTACCCTGTTTTATGTGATGAAGTCCATTGTGAACTCTGATACTATCCAAGATGGCTCTACAGTGATGATGTGAACAATTTCATCCCGGTTGGTATTTGCAGTAATGAGATTGTTCACGAACTGTTACAAAAAACAAGGAAGAAATTACTGCACTAAGTCGAAATACTTTTCAGAAATCACGTTTTGAAAAAGAAAGTGTGTTAGGCTTTATGTGTCATTATGCAATTTTGGGGGAGACCAGAGACTCCTGTATGGGATGGTTTCCAGCTAGGAAGAGGGTGATGGCTTGAATCAGTCCTAACTTGTGTGTGGGTGCAGCTGGCATTTGGAAGCTCATGGCACTGATGCTTACATATGGTCTGAAACTTGTGTTCTGGGAAGTGCTTGTGGAACACTGTGGGCACTTGAAGCTCGTCCCCTTTTGCTGTGTGCTGAGGGATGGAAAGAGCCTCTGAGGTTCTGAGAACAGTTCCTACTTAGTTTTGGTACTTAATCATGTTCGTGAACATGAGATCACTGTGCTGTTGTAGACTCTCTAAACTGAGGAGGGGGGTGATGTTTAAACACCGTCTTAAATTTGTCTTAAATACTGATGTTTACAACCAAAGCAAATACTGACCATGTTGGAAAGAAAGCACAGAAATGGTATATTTTCCTAAAACCATGTGCCTCACTGTAATGTGACTGCTAAATTTTTTAACAACTGTGGAATTGTTTTGTAAAATAAAAACCAAACTCAGAAATTCTCCACAATGTTTTATACTGTTACTGATTCTGTTTGCTGTTGTGCTTTTTCTATGTATTTACACAATTTAATTTTTACTTTGATAAACATCTGTTTTCCTAACTCACACCTTTCTCTGTAATGAAGTGAAATCTTTTCAAGTACTGTTTTTCCCTTCAATAAAAGTATAATTGCATTAAATGAAAGGTGCTTGTGGTTAATGTGGTGTTTTTAATGATGCTGATTCTCCAGATGATGCTGAAATTTGCTGTGGGTTGTTTATTTTGTTCATGTGTCTTGTTTCATTTTTGAAAGTTCTTGTCCTCAATTTCTTTGTTATGCACACAACATGTACTGCTGAGGGAACTTTCTGTGTCACTACTGCTGTGCAGCAGCTTCACTCAGCTGCTGTGTGCCCCTAGACAACTGGTTGGCATGACTGGAGTTGTTAAGGTGGGAATGATATTTTAATTACTTTTGATTTACTTATTTAACATAAGAGTCAACCTAGATATGCCAACAAACTCTTCTTAGTCTGTGCTACAGAGCAAATAATAATAATGCCTGACGCTATTCTTTCATCAAAGACTGGAGCTAGGAAGCAGCATGCATCTGGTTCTTTGTGGAATAAATACACTCTGAGTGCTTGATGCAC